TGCGAAGGGAAATGCAAGGGGGTTGTGCCACGCTTCGCTGCATTGATTTGCTTGTAAGGAGGAATGGAGAGGAAGGTGCTGCCTGAGAGTGCAATTTGAAAAGGTGGGAAACTGATGGATGGAAGATGGCGGGAAGAGGGTGGGTGGGAATCCAGTACAAGGATGGTTGGTGTCGTTGCTTGCAGGAGTGAGTAGATAAAATGGTGATGGCGGGCAGAGGCAGAGGACCTGAGACGGGGAGGGACAGTTGGTCTATGAAGAGGGCAAATGGGAAACAGGGAAGACGGATGGAAGAGGGTGCTAAGGGTGAATTGACGGGCAGCGCAGGATGGAGTTGTGCAAAGAAGGCGCTGATAGGGGGAAAGGAGTGGAGAGTTACGTGCTGCTCCGCGTGATGTGGAAAGAGGTGAAATCGGAGATGGGGAAGGGAGAGAAGAGGGAGATAAGGGGGTATAGCAGGGAGGAAGCAGTAGATGGGACACAGGATGGAGAAGGAGGGGGTACGAACAATGGAGGGAGCTTGGAGGGTGGGGAGAATGGCACATGGTCCTCATACATGATGGCCAACGGGGAGGAGAGGGGGTGTTTCAAGACGTCGCAACAGAAGCTTCCGCAGCAGCACACATGTTGGCCAACCAGGCACTCACACATGATGGGAGAGCGGCTGGCCTGTACGCTGCTGCCGGCCTACAGCCCCATCTGGTACTCACTCATATGTGATGGCAGGGCGGCTGGTTGTGCACCGGCCTACAGCCCCACGTTGGTGATCTGCACGTAGAGCGACTTGCACTGCCCACCGCATCCCACTGCCTCCTTGCTGGCTGGCTCCTCCTGGCAGGGGCAAAAGAAATGCGGGAGAGGGGTGGAGAAAATGCGTGGGGGAAAATGGTGGGGGAAAGGGGTGGAGAAAATGCATGGGGGAAAAGGGGTGGGGGATAGGGGTGGGAGAAAGGTGGGAGAGAGTACGAGGGAGGGGTCAGGGAGAGGCGTAAGGGAGGGGTGTGGGGGAGTGCGGACGTGCACTGCCCACAGGAGTCCACTGCCTCCTCGGGGGCTGGCTCCTCCTGGCAGCAGCACGGGCAGGGTGGGCGGTAGAGGCGTGTGGGAGAAGGGGGGGTATGCGAGAGGTGTGGTGGAGTAGTGTGGGTGAGAGGAGTGGGGGAGAGGCGTTAGAGAGAGGCGTGGGGGAGGGGGGTGGCGGAAAGGGGCGGCAAAGAACAGAGGAGAGAACCCCTACTTCTTGCCATCATCTTTTCCCCATCGCATCTTAATCCCCTCTTCCCCTCCTCGCCCCCCCCCACATTGCTTACCGATATCATCCCACAACAATCACCCCTTATCCCATGCCTCACTCGCTGGTGCGTCCACTCGCGCATGTCCTGCGCCAGCTTGCACGGCACCGTGCGGCCTTCTGCCACATGGTCCTCACACACCTGGCGGAGGGAGAAAGGGGGAAGAGGTGGGAGGAGGGGTCAACTCGAAACCAGCTTGAGCAGCACCATGCGGTCTGCTACTGCTAAAAAGAAGGTCTTCACACACCTGGTGGGGGTGAAAGAGGGGAGTCGAGGGGAGGGGGGTTGGGTGGGGAAGGGGAGGTGGGGACGAGTCGACACCAGCTTGCGCAGCACCATGCGGTCTGCTGGCACACGGCCCTCACACACACACACCTGCAGCGGGGGTTGGGGGAACGGGAACACGGAGGGTCACGGAGGTTGTGAGGCACGGAGGGGAGAGAAAAGGCCTAGCTGCTTTGAGGCATCCCAAAACAAGCTTGTGCAGCACCATGCGGTCTGCTACTGCTGGCACACGGTCCTCACACACCTGGCGGGGGGAGGAGGGGAGGAAAGGGCGCAGAGGAGAGGGAAAAAAGGGGATGTTTCGAAATGCCTCCAGACACAAGAACCATGCGGTCTGCTGCTGGCACAGGGTTGTCAACACAGGCTTGTACGTCTCAGAAAACAAGCACCAACTCAACCCCCCTTTCCGTCCCCTTTTTCTCCACTCTCCCCACCTTTCCCCGCCCTCCTGACAACTGTCCCCGCGTGCAACTTGCATCTTCCCTGGTGCACCTTTAGGAAGGCGGAAAGAGTGGGAATGGCGCAGAGGGGAACAGGCGGGGAAACTAAGGTTGGGGGATGTCGCACAGTGTGTACACACCTGAGCGATCAATGTCGCACGGGTGGCGGGAGGTGGAGAAGTGTGAGGGGTTGGGTTGGGACCCCAAGCGAAAAACGACTGCAAGCAATCCCCATCGCTCGCCACTCATTTCTCCTCGCTGCAAAACCCCCTCACTTTCATCACCAACCAAACCCCCCATTCCCACCTTCCCACCCCCTCCACCCCCCTTCCCCCCTCTTCTCCCCTCTCCCCAGGTGCACCTCGAGGAATGCGTCTGCAATCTCGTCGCGAAAGCACCCGCTTTCGTTCTCCATGCCTTCCCCCCCTTTCCCCCCCGTTTCCCCCCCCTCCCCGCTCTCAGCCCACTCCCAGAAATCCCCCAGCCCTCTCCCCGACCCCACATCTCCCCTCCCCGCGCCCACCTCTCCCCCACCCCTCTCCCGCACCTCGAGGAAGGCGTCAGCAATCTCATCACGTGAGAACCCGATTTCGTTCTCCATGCCCCTACCCTCCCCCCACCCTCCCTCAGCCATTTCCGGCGCTTTCCCAACAATCCCCCAGGCCTATCCCCACCCCCACACCTCCCCTCCCCCGCGCCCACCTCTCCCCAACCCTTTCACGCACCTCGAGGAAGGCGTCGGCCATCTCGTCGCGGGAGCACGCGCTTACTTGACGAGCAGGGGAGAGGAGGAGGTAGGGAGAAGTCAATTCTCCCACCAGTGCTGAAGGCGATGATGAGGAAGGCAAAGCTGATCGCCATTTAGCAGAAGGCTATGGCCGTCTGGATTGGTCAGAAGCAAAGACGACGACATGGTTGCCCGGACCCACTGCACGCGCGTGCCGTGCATGGTTGGCTCTCCAGCAGGTTGTCGTCGCCTGTGAGAGGAAGGCAGGTCGCATGAGGTAGGGGGGGAGGGAGGGAGAGATGAGGGGTAGGTGAGGGAACGGGAAATTTTCCATCGCGCACAACAAGCACAGAATGAGGATAAGGAGAAAAAGCTGGGGAGGAACGGGGGCGAAGGCATGGGGAGAGGAGCAGGGAGGGAGAAGGCAACCCTCCAACCAGCATCGACGGAGGTGATTATGGCACCAGAATTCTCAAAAGCGGCAAGTTGACGGTTCTCTTGATCGTATTTCGACGCCATTCGATTCGCTGCGACGCACGCGACGAATTTCTCGCAATACACGCGGCGCTACGAATTTTTCTCGGCGCTCACAGAGCAGCTACCGACGCACGCCGACCCTCGTTCGACTTGCCATCGCCCATAGGAGGCATGTGGGATGATGGTGTGCAGTGCTAGTGCTATTGCGGAGTCAGCTCATACGGTGTCCAATGACGCATAGTGGCGCTCCTTTTGACACTATCCTTCGAGATTATGTCAGAGCAGTTACGGAAGGGAAGAAGAAGCAATTATGGTCATTAGAGGACCATTAGGTCAACTCGATGTGAACTATACCTTTTCGCTTTATCACTCGACAGTTCTAGATCGTGATTAGGTAGGTTGCGGACTGACCGGCTAGCTCACCATGTCGCTGGGGCGCTGTTTGCTAGTGCCATAATCCGCCTTTTCAAACATGTTAGTAGCTTTTCGTATGCTGGAAGCATTATTCAACTTCTGCTGTAGAGGTCATTAGGGTTTCGCTAAGTTGGGAGCAGGTTATTGCGAGAGCGAATGAAAAGGTTGGTGTTCGTCAAACACGGTCAGTAGCTGTCCTGATTCGTCTGACCGGCAGATCTGACGAGATTCTTGGCAGCTTGACACGCCCTGCTGGCATGCCACGCCACAATCGAAACTTGTGTCGCCTTGGAATTCGCGAGAGCAGGGTGGGCTGATGATACATTCGCATTCGTCGAGACCCACATTTCACGGCTGAATGGGAGGTCGCACAACTCACCAGCGATGTCGGCCTGTCGCAGCCACGAAACACTGCAACGCAGATCTTGGCACGAAAGGGACTTCACCTTCCACCCTCATCTACCTCCTGCCACTTTCTTCCTAGATTCTCATTTCCTACCTTCAGCTTTCCTACTCAAATTCCTACTTCAAGTTGACGTCGTCTCCACTCCCGCTATAGTAGCTCAGAAACTATACTACTAGTTGCGCACAGTTGACAAAGATTTACTACTCGCCGCACCACGATGGCAATGGACGACCAGGGACGCATCATTCGGCTCAGCTTCATCCGAAAAATCGTGGGTTGGGAATCCTGCTCAAAAGATACTTGGGAGTTGCTCCGTGGTTGGGTTTCGGAAAGTATGTTCGGGAATGCCGGGCATGATGCTTTTCAAGCGGACCGCGCTGTCTTCTGTCCCAACAGTTTCGGAACCAATCGCAGATATTCGAAAGTTTGGTTCGGAAACCTCTACGATTTGCTGAGTGCATGGTTCATTTCGTTTGAGAATGGCTTACATTGGTTTTCCCATTGTCTAGGGAGCGATCGAATTGGCTGACGTACGCCACGCGTTCTAGCAGTTCGCTCGATAAACGCATCACTCCGAGTGACTGTAGCATTAAATTGGATACGTTCGAATACACTTTGTGAAAACTCTGTACTGGAGTTATATTCTTATTTGGTATTGATACGATTGTATTTCTTTAAAATAAAATTATGGTGCTGGATATATAATTAATTGTCACACCCTTTACAGTAGCTGGCATTATATCAAATCCGGGTTTTTTTTGCATACTAGAAATCCCATGCACATTATGTTCTTTTTTTTTTTTATACTTTCCATGCACAACCGATTGTCAATTGGCTCAAATATTTACAAAATACATGAACACCATCTCATTATCCCCAAAAAACACTTACGTAGCCAGTACGATATCTATTCATCATTCGGGTATTTCTATATCTAATACTGGCATGGAAGACCTCAGCTACTCAAATAACTGCGAAGCCTGCACAACAAAACCAGTAGTTAATGCAATAACAAAACATGATAACGTGACAAAGAATCGGCACTGTTGAGAAACCATCACGTTATCTGCACGAAAAAACAGACGACCAGCAAGAACATACGAGCTGCAATAACAGAAAGAAAAAAAAAACAAGAAAAAGAAAAAGAAGAAAAAAAACAGCAGCAGAAATCACCTGCACTTCATACCAACATCCTTCCATGTTGGGCTCATGCGACGCGTCGGGCGCCAACAGGCCTGACATAATACAAACACAACCAAACAACATGGTGACAGCAAATGATTCGATGAGAAAAACGGCAGCAGGGGAACGACCCAAGCCAACAACGAGCACCAGCGCGCCTACGCTGAGAGCATCGCAATCCGAAACGCAAAAAATAGGAGACAGGAGGGCGGTTGGCTTGCCTTCGTTACGCACGAGCATCGATATTTTCCACGGCTCACGTAGTGCCTCTGTAGCGGCGGCGATCTGCAGTGCGAGGTGCTGATGGCGAGGCTCGACGATTCTGAAAGGAGGGGTAGGAGGCAGATGGACGAGGAAAACCGTAACGCATCAAGTAGTTCTCGCCTCGTCCGTTGCTCGTATATAATTTCTTCAATAAACGCTACGAAAGGACAAGCTCTACATCTTTCTTAGATTTCTCACACAAAAACGTCGTGGTGAGACACCAGCAGGCACTTATAAGTTCTCGACTGCAGGGACAGCGAAAATGAGAGACAGTGACTACCCAAGAAACAACTCGTCGAACAGAACTAATGAGAGCTCTATGCACGTCCCTCGTAAAAACGACTCCGAGATGACGACCACGCAGGTACACCTCACCTCACCAGTGAAACCCTGGTGTTAGAACCTGCCACTGGCGCACAGCAAGGGAACCGCCAGCGTGGAATCGACGTACTGATTCGGCCCCGCTGGTGACTCAGCTTCGGCAAAAGGACCCCCCGTCATGTTTGCGAGTGAGCAATCAGCAGCGCTGGCACGGGCCTGAGCAACGATTCGTCACATACTGATTTTTGGCGTACACCAATGCGCTGCTCGACAACCGCACTGGCGAGCTGTGCTGCTGCCAGGTCGACAATTTTGGAAGTTGTTACAGCATGGCAGTTTCTAGGACGAGCTGAAAACATTTATTCAGGCCGAATACCAATCCATTAACTTCACTTGTTTCATCCAATACCCATTTTAGAGTCAGAATATAACACATTGAAATTCTCACGAATAGTAACAAATCAAGCCAATATCTTATCACAGGCAACAAGAAGCATACGCATTGTGAGATTTATGACGTATTGTCCATATATTCTCCTTTAAATACATCAGTCATAAAATTCAAACAATCTCCAACTTAACAATATATATCATAATATATGTGTATAACAAAATAAATTATACATGCAAGCAAACGCATGCAAGCACTAAAAATTTGCGCAAACACTGGTATTTTACAATGCGTAGGTACCTTGGTGATTTTTAGCTATATATGTCGGTAGTCAGGTGGATATACGCCATGAAACCGTGCAAGCATAGGCATATACGTAACATGTCACCGTTTGATCGTATGGATGGTTTTTTTAAGCCCTATTTCTCCTCACGTTCAGGTGGTAAATCCTATTTTCTAGCCATTGGAACTGATTTTAGCTCATTCGCACAACTAAGATGCACGTGACGCTTGTTTGTGTGTTTGATGGCATGAAACCATGCAAGGATAGGCATATACGCAACATGTCATCGTATAATCACCTGGATGTTTTTTAAAGCCCTATTTCTTCTCACATTCAACATCCTATTACCTAGCCATAGTAACTATTTTGAGATCATTCGCACAACTACGCAGCACGTGACACTTCTTTATGCCGTTGATGGCATGAAACTGTGCAAGGATAGGCATGTCTGCAACGTGTCACCATTTTATCGTCTGGATGTTTTTTTTGTATCCGATTTCTCATCACATTCAAGTAGTAGATCCAATTCCCTAGCCAAGGGAACTGGTTTGAGGTCATTCGCCCAACTACGCAGCACGTGGCGCTTGTTTGTGCGTTTGATGGCATGGAACAGTACAAGGATAGACATGTACGCAACATGTCATCGTTTTATCATCTGGATGTTTTTTTTAGTCCTATTTCTCATCACATTCGGGTAGTATATCCTGTCAAACTCATACACTATAGTCTGTGTAGGCTGTAGTGGGGTATGTTATATGGGGTACAACATTCTAGGGTTTGGTACTTGTACTCCTCATGCTGCTCAATACAACAATTCTCGTTCTATTCTAAGATTCTAACATGGTATCACGAGCCTAGGTTGCTACCTAGGACCGCTTTCTACAATGGGCCCACTATTCCGCTAGAAGCGCCCTCGTGCGCCCTACCCTACGTGCGCCCTCGTGCGCCTTTCTCTGCTAGTGCGCCTTCGTGCGCCCTCGTGCGCCCTCGTACGCCCTCGTACGCCCTCGTGCGCCCTTGTGCGCCCTCGAGCCCCCTGCAGGTCCGTCAGGCCCCCGAGCCGCCTCTGCAGACCCGTCAGGCCCCCCCCGAGCCGCCTCTGCAGGCCCGTCACGCCCGAGAGCCGCCCCTGCAGACCCGTCAGGCCCGCGCGCAGCCTCTGCCCGACCGCGCGCCGCCTCTGCAGGCTCTCGCCGCCCACCGCGTCGCCCTGTCCGCGGCGTCGTCGTCGCCTGCCCGCGACGCAGCCCCTGCCCGCGGCGTCGTCGCCTGCCCGCGACGCAGCCCCTGCCCGCGGCGTCGTCGCCTGCCCGCGACGCAGCCCCTGCCCGCGGCGTCGTCGCCTGCCCGCGGCGTCGTCGCCTGCCCGCGACGCAGCCCCTGCCCGCGGCGTCGTCGCCTGCCCGCGACGCAGCCCCTGCCCGCGGCGTCGTCGCCTGCCCACGGCGTCGTCGCCTGCCCGCGGCGCCGTCGCCTGCCCGCGGAGTCGTCGTCTGCCCGCGACGCAGCCCCTGCCAGCAGCGTCGTCGCCTGCCCGCGGCGTCGTCGCCTGCCTGCGGCGTCGTCGCCTGCCCGCGGCGTCGTCGCCTGCCCGCGGCGTCGCCATCTGCCCGCCGCGTCGCCCTGCCCGCGGCGTCGCCACCTGCCCGTGCAGCAGCCCCTGGAGCCGCCCGCCACTGCAGCAGCCGCCCCTGGAGCCGCCCGCCACTGCAGCAGCAGCCCCTGGAGCCGCCCGCCACTGCAGCAGCCGCCCCTGGAGCCGCTCGCCACTGCAGCAGCCGCCCCTGGAGCCGCCCGCCACTGCAGCAGCCGCCCCTGGAGCCGCCCGCCACTGCAGCAGCCGCCCCTGGAGCCGCCCGCCACTGCAGCAGCAGCCCCTGGAGCCGCCCGCCACTGCAGCAGCAGCCCCTGGAGCCGCCCGCCACTGCAGCAGCCGCCCCTGGAGCCGCTCGCCACTGCAGCAGCAGCCCCTGGAGCCGCCCGCCACTGCAGCAGCCGCCCCTGGAGCCGCTCGCCACTGCAGCAGCCGCCCCTGGAGCCGCCCGCCACTGCAGCAGCAGCCCCTGGAGCCGCCCGCCACTGCAGCAGCAGCCCCTGGAGCCGCCCGCCACTGCAGCAGCCGCCCCTGGAGCCGCCCGCCACTGCAGCAGCAGCCCCTGGAGCCGCCCGCCACTGCAGCAGCAGCCCCTGGAGCCGCCCGCCACTGCAGCAGCAGCCCCTGGAGCCGCCCGCCACTGCAGCAGCCGCCCCTGGAGCCGCCCGCCACTGCAGCAGCCGCCCCTGGAGCCGCCCGCCACTGCAGCAGCAGCCCCTGGAGCCGCCCGCCACTGCAGCAGCAGCCCCTGGAGCCGCCCGCCACTGCAGCAGCAGCCCCTGGAGCCGCCCGCCACTGCAGCAGCAGCCCCTGGAGCCGCCCGCCACTGCAGCAGCAGCCCCTGGAGCCGCTCGCCACTGCAGCAGCCGCCCCTGGAGCCGCCCGCCACTGCAGCAGCCGCCCCTGGAGCCGCCCGCCACTGCAGCAGCAGCCCCTGGAGCCGCCCGCCACTGCAGCAGCAGCCCCTGGAGCCGCCCGCCACTGCAGCAGCCGCCCCTGGAGCCGCTCGCCACTGCAGCAGCCGCCCCAGGCACCTGGAGCAGCTGCCGTCGCGGCCCGGCCTCGCCCTGCAGCAGCTGCCGCGGAGCTCCCTGCTGCGGCCCGGCCCCGCCCTGCAGTTGTAGCGGCCCCGCGGTCGCCACCGTCTTGCGCCTGCCGCGCCGACCACTGGTGAGCATTGCCCTGCCAGCACTGCTACTGCTGCTACTGCCTTTTCTACTCCCACTGCTACTGCTCCTGCTGTTACTGCCGCTACTGCTGCTACTGCTGCTCCTGGCGAGGCCAGATGCAGCTCCAGGGTCGTGCGCGTGAGTCCCTCACGCCCCAGCAGCTTCGTGAGTGGTACGCTAGTTGGGGCTGTCGGGGTGGCCGTAGTGGTAGTCGCTCTGGAGTGGGTCGGTCGGGAGCTTCTGGTAGTGGACAGGTGCAGCTGCCGTGTTCTCTTTCGCCCCAGCAGCTTCGTGCGTGGTACGCCAGTTGGGGCTGTCGGGGTGGCCGTAGTGGTAGTCGCTCTGGAGTGGGTCGGTCGGGAGCTTCTGGTAGTGGACAGGTGCAGCTGCCGTGTCCTCTTTCACCCCAGCAGCTTCGTGAGTGGTACGCCAGTTGGGGCTGTCGGGGTGGCCGTAGTGGTAGTCGCTCTGGAGTGGGTCGGTCGGGAGCTTCTGGTGATGGACAGGTGCAGCTGCCGTGTCCTGTGAGTGAGGCTGCCGCTCTAGGTGCTAGTGCGGCTGCTACCCCAGGTGCTGGTGAGGCTGCTGCTCTAGGTGCCAGTGCGTCTGCCGCCCCAGGTGCCGGTGAGTCTGCGCTCTCAGGTGCTGCGTCGTCACCGGACACCCACACCTTCACCCTTGACTCGGGTGCTTCCCGCTCCTTCTTTCGAGACTGCACCACTCTCACGCCGCTCAGTCGGCCCGTTGCAGTCTCCCTGGCAGACCCCTCTGGGGGTCTTGTCCTTGCCCACTACTCCACTGTCCTACCGTGTCCAGCGGTCCCGTCTGGCTCCCTGTCGGGTCTTTACCTCCCCTCGTTCTCTACGAACTTGGTGGCGGGTGCTGACCTACAGGATGCAGGAGTTGACCAGTTCACCCCTGCGCGTCAGCGGGTGACCCACTGCACGTGTGCGGACACGGGCCGACACTTGGCCACGTTTACCCGTCGGCCGGGGTCGAGCCTGTACACACTGACCACTGAGTCTCCTCCAGTCACTGAGTCTGCTCAGGTAGCAGCGTCGGGTCAGGTGTTTGCTGCGGCGTCCAGGTCTGGTCCTGAGTCTGCCCCCTGCTCGTGTCGTCTCCTGTCCCACCGGACTCTCCTCTGGCACCACCGCCTTGGTCACCCCTCCCTGCCTCGTCTTCGAGGCATGGCGTCCCGTCTTCTTGTCTCTGGCCTCCCCCGGTCCCTCCCTCCCCTTCCTCCGGGGCCTGCCCCCACCTGCGTTCCCTGCGTCGAGGGGCGGCAGCGCGCTGCCCCTCACTCCTCCGAGTTTCCTCCGACAGAGGCTCCGCTGCAGACGCTTCACATGGACGTGTGGGGCCCAGCCCGCGTCCGTGGACAGGGTCAGGAGCGTTACTTCCTGCTGGTGGTTGACGACTACTCGCGTTACACCGCAGTCTTCCCCTTGCGCAGCAAGGGTGACGTCACTGAGGTGTTGATCGCCTGGATCCGCGCAGCTCGTCTCCAGCTCAGGGAGAGTTTCGGCTCGGACTTTCCTGTTCTGCGTCTGCACTCCGACAGAGGCGGAGAGTTCTCCTCTGACCTTCTGCGGGCCTTCTGTCGTGCACGAGGCATCCGCCAGACCTTCACGCTTCCGGACTCCCCGCAGCAGAATGGGATTGCTGAGCGCCGCATTGGCATGATCATGGACGTCGCTCGTACGTCCATGATCCATGCGGCTGCTCCCCATTTTCTGTGGC